CTAATAATACCAATGCCAATGCCAATGCCAATGCCAATACCCAATATCAATACCAATTCCAATAGCAATAGTAATAATAATAATAATAATAATAATAATAATAATAATAATAATAATAATAATAATAATATAAATAACATCCTGTTTTTTTTAGTTTTGGACTAGTGGACTGGAAAGAGCTACAAATTCCAATTATGGATCGAAAAAACAGAAAATTGCTTACAATGCATCATGTCACCCACTCTCCAGCTGACGTACATTAACGTAATGTATCACAAAAGGAAAAAATAAGAGGTATGAGACAAATTGAAGCCTCCTGGCACAATGCAATAGTCGGAAAGAAAGTATGTAGTCGTCAAGATGACCCTTTAATGAGGCTTGTGGTTAAATGTAGCCAAAGAATTGGAAACAGGCATTGCAAATGTAGCAAAAAGCATTGCGAAGAAAACTATGCAAGACAAGCAGAATAATGTCACTGAAGTTCTGATGCTACTTAACAAGAAGTGTGAGTCAAAAAATCTTATAAAGAAATCGTGGAGAGGCAAACCACTGCGCGGACAATATCGAAAAAGAATTGGCAAGGTGCAGCTCAATAAAGACCAATCGTTTGTGTGACTTAAAAGAGGGAGAAAGAAGCCAGAATCGGAAGCAGTTGCAATGGCTGTCCAAGATCAGGCTATGAGAACACGACATCATGATAATGCGGTTCTCAAAATACCCCAAGATGTTAAACCCCGCATCTAAGAGGAAGAGGTAGAAACCTTTGATCATATTGTTTCAGCTTATCCAATTCTAGCAAAGACCGAATACATGAAAAGACCCGACAGGGAGTGTAGTTACCTCCATTGACAGTTTTTTTTTGTCGTCATTGCAGGTCGCATCAACTTCTAGGTCATTAGCGACCACTATTGCTTGTAACGGTATGGTAACTGTGAGGATGACACGATATGATTATGATAGGCGGTGAAAGGACGAACACAAATACAACCATGTCCGAGGCGGGACTCGTGCCTGCGATCCTTCAGTCCGAGATCGCTCCGACACTACTAGCCACTGACAGTTTTGTAACGCCCTCGACGTTTCAAACCCAAACTCCCAGTTGGACGAACTCTCACCAATACCGGTAACGTCTGTTGGGCTGTGTACAATGTTTTACGACCAACAAATTCAAACTCATCGCACGATAGCGGCAAACGAACAGGATATTGTTATCCGGGATTTGGAGAAAAAATCATGTCTACTTGTAGATGTTGCTATGCCATGTAAACAAAACCTCGTAACCAAGGAGGCAGAGAAACGTTTTAAATGGAAGAGTTTGGAAATGGAGATGAGCTGAATGTGGGGCATAAAAGCACAGGTCGTCCCGATAGTTATCGAAGCTTTAGGATTTGTTCCGCAGAATTGGCTAAACTCCCAGGTTATTCAAAAACCTGGGTAATGCAAGAAATTGCTTTATTAGGAACAGCCCACATCTTGCGCAAAGTGTTGTACAGGCACCCACAGTTCCTCGATTTGCTCCTTAGGAAGCTGGTGGCAACCAGGAGGAGGCTTTTCATTCAACCGAATCATAATATAATCAGTCGGAAATTAGAGAACTATTATTATTATTATTATTATTATTATTATTATTATTATTTCTTCAAGTTTCTCGATTAGCGAGGTGCCTATAGCAGACACCGGGACCTTTGCAGGACCAAGGTGCCTGCTTCAATTGCAAACTCGGGCGGTCAGTTATTACAATAGAAACTTCCTAACGATGCGTGCAGTACTCAGGAGAACAGCCTTTTGCGTTGTTTGAATGTGCCAGATCTTAAGGCCAAGCCTTGCAGACGATGAAATTAGGTCTTCGGAGATCAGTCCATTTGCAGAGATGACCACAGGGACTACTTCAACAGATACTAAGCGCCACATGTCGCTCAGTTCAATAGCCCAGGCCTGATATTTTCGCTTCTTCTCGGCAACAGAGGCAACTATATTTCGGTCTAAAGGGATAACTATGTCGACTATAATCCCTTTCTGTTAAGCCTTGTCAATCCGTATTATGTCAAGTCTTTTGTCTTCGACCCTGCGATCAATGGTGACTGCTATATTCCAGAAGAGCTTCCACCGTTTCGACTCCAAAACTGAATCCAGCTTGAACTTGCAGTTTGGGACCTCTATCTGTATCATCACCGACTTCGCAGCCAGGGCCTGACGGACAGCCGCAGCAACGTCGTTGTGCCGACTCGGATATTCTGTTTTCGCCAAAGCAGAACACCCGCCCATGATGTGTGGGAAGGTTTGGCCGGGTTGATTGCAAAGGCGGCAGCGATCCTCTACACTCATATCCCCAATTACATACCTTTGGTAATTGCGGGTGACGGTTACTTCGTCCTGAATAGAAATGACGAAGCCTTCTGTCTCAGCAAAGAGACCAGATTTTGTTAGCCAGATGACTGACGATCCCATATTCACGGCGTTCCCTTTGAGTTCAGCAGGATACCTGCCGTGCAAACGTTTCTGGGTCCACTCACTCAGTCTATCTTCTTTCGTGATACATGGTCTTTCAGAGTCCGCTTGATTCAGGTTCAGTGGAATAAACTTCTTGTCCGTGGCACAACTTGCTTCGTACATGACCGTCGTTTTCTGAAGGAAGTATTTGCGAAGATGGTTGATTTGCTTCGCACACAAGTACTCAAAATCCAGAAGACCTCTACCTCCTTCGTTCCGAGGTAAGTGCAGTCTTGCCATTGAACTGTTGGGATGGTGCATTCGATACTTTGTAAGAGTGGTCCTAACTTTTCGATTAAGCTCCTGCAGTACAGTTGTTGTTCGGTGAAGAACACCAAATGAATAGACAGCAACAGGTACTGCCCAAGTGTTGATAGCTGATATGAGGTTCTTTCCATTTAAAAGAGTTTTTGAGACTCTTTGATCAACTTTATTTTTAATATCACACCTCATCTGTCATTCACTTGTGCTCAAAAGTTGTTGTAGGCCTAAATATTTATAGGTATCTTCTTGCCCAAGTGATTGGATATTTGTGCCACACATCAGGATCAGTTTGTCAGAATCAAGGATTTTTCCTTCTTCTTCTTCTTCTTCTTCATTATTATTATTATTATTATATTATTACTATTATTATTATTGTTATTATTATTAATGCAATAATATATCAATTTTGATTTTCGTCCATGAGCAGTAAAAACTGTGTGACGCGTAGGGGAGAAGTACAACCTGCGCACGTGGTCTTGAGGTCCGCAATCCCTTCTCACATGGCAACTTTAAATAGTTGGATGATGAATAACAGCATCAACAAAGTGTAGTTAGGAACATTTGAAAACAACACATTTCCGACAGCGCCCGACGCCCCGCCCTTACTGCATTTGTTTCCAAAATTAATTTGAATTATTTCATGAATTTATAATGCTGTAATACAAAAAAGAGCGTATGTAACTCGTTTATAATGTTGTTTCATTACATTCGTACAAATATAAAAACTCGCTCCCTAACTCCCTATCTCGCCCCCTATTTTTAAAACATTTGTTTATGCAATTAAGCGTAAGCGTAATAAACTAGTTGCATTATACAACTTCTTATTGTTGGAAACCTTATGTATCAATCAGTAAATAAAAATATGAATCTTTTTTTGTTTTCGTTGGCGTAATGTATAAATACAATGAAAACGTTTTCATATGCCTTATTTTGTGAGAAACTGAATACAAATAAACAATGTGAAAACGTTTTAATTATTCATCAATTAAGCCAACAAAAACAAAAAAGTATCATATATTTATTTACTAGTTGCATAATATACGAATACCTTGTCATTATATAGTATTTGAGTTAAACTCGTTGACTGTGCAGATGCTAGACCCCTTCCCGCGCACCAATCGAGACGTAGAAGGTGTCTTTCGACGCGTCTCGGTCTCCTGATGGGGAACTGATCATTTGTTTGCGGATCCGGCCACAAGATTTAAAGAAATTTCCAAAAAACTTCTTTTTGTTCGTGTTTTGGCGCTGTGATCTTAGTGATAATGCCAGGAATTAAACCAACGACTCCTAAATCGATCTATGCATGTGGCATTGATTTGGGCACCCGTACTCAAATAATTTTTTACCAAACATGCCATAATTTCCTTTTACGACGTTGGCGATACTGATGTTGACTTCTTTAAGTGAACAATTGAATTAACAAGTAAATCGCACTGCAGATTGATTTGATTTTAGATTCGAATTAACGTATTTAAAAACAAATTTGAGATAACCTACGAACAGTATTGCCTCGGAACTAATTGAACTTTAAGAATTTCAAGTAAATACGGAGAAAACAAAACTGTGAGTAATGCTAGAGAATGAATCAACGTTATGTCACGACTTCTCACTTTTACGTTCTTACAGAAGTGTGCCAATACCGATTTTCAAATGAATGTGACTCACAACTTACGTTTATTAAACTTAACTAACATCTTATTCACATGAACATACAAAATAGTCGTTAGATTTGCATGCAACGCTAGATTTGCATACAAAACAGTTAAC